AGCTCAAAGATACCTTCAGAGGTAAATCGAATGCTCTAGGATCATCATACATGAGTTATCTGGGAAATGTTTGGCTAACCTGTTTTTTAAATGCTTAGTGAGTTCTGCAGCATCCTTATGCAACCAATTGCAGGTTTTCTGTTCTCATCACTAAATTGCTTCCCACTTCCCCCAAGGCTGACCTAAATCTTTATTTCTGCAAAATAAATACTTGAAAAATTATTGTTTCTCTCTGTGTATGAGAAGTAATCAATTTAAGAAGTATTATAATGCATTTTCCTACTTCTGCTGTTTTTTTATTTTCTCTAATAAAGTAAAAAGGATATAACTTAGTCTGTCCTCGTAATTCTGATGTCCTAGCACCTGGAGTTACTGCAGTTGCTCTCCCTTGGACTTGTGCCAGTTCATATATAGTTTACAGACATCTTTACTGATGTCTAATTTCCTGTGTTAAACAGAGGGCTCCAGCTGAGACTATGAGTGTAACTGGGGGAACTATTAGTTGTATACAAGTGGAACATTTATGTCATGTGCCATGTATATGGCACCCTATGTAATACCTCCTGGAATGATGCTGCCCCCTCAGCAGTAAAATATTATAGATAGAGTCTGTAGCCTGTAAACCGCATGTTAAAACAAAGTCACTGTATTGTGCATTTGCTTTTTCCTCTCTAAGTATAGTACTTTGTACTGGCCTTCAGCTAATTTAATGCTGTCTTGGTATCAGACAATTTCTCTTTTTTACGTGTCTGTTTTGAATTGCTTCCCTCTGAGCAGTTGTAGTATCTACAGTTTAGCGTCATCTACTGCCTGCATAAAAATAAATACATTATTCTACCATTCACAGTATTAAAAGCCTGAATAGCACCAAATGCGGGACAGAACTTTGCAGTCTTTTATATTTGCTTAAAGTGAATTGAAAACCTGTGTCCTAATACGCTATTAGAGTTGAATTATTTTTTTTCAGTGAAGTCAGTGGTATTACTACCATAAAAAAATTAAATGAAAAAGGGATCCATTCTATTATAAAGGTGCCATGTGTTGAGTTATTTTTAACTTTGGCACTAATTTTGTAAACACGTACTCATATACACTTGCCCCATTGACTTGAAAGGAACTGATAAGTTGTTTGGAGCCCAGTCCTGTCCAATCAGGGACTAGACCTGTGCTGGAAATAGGTTGTGGTGCCTAGTGTTTCTTTATTTATTGTGTTGAAATGAACATTTACATATTCATTGCATTTGAAACTTTGCACAAGTCAACATTTTATTAATTTCTTTCTTAATGGGTAAAGACGTAGCAAGTATATGCTTGCTCCATTTTAAAATTCTGTGCCCTACAAATTGATACACAAGAATAAACTAACTTGAGAATTAACTTTGGGTATATTTAGCTCCTTAGCAAACTATGTGTAATGACAGTGATCTGCACAGTAACATTTCTTCTCTCATGATATTTCTAGATCTGTGAAGAGTTAATAACTCAGCCTTTTGTACAGCTGTTGCTGGATGAAGACTGGAGGATCAAAAGCAGCTTTTTGACTCTTCCTACTATACCAACTAACTAGTCATATAATGGAAGTGCTCTGTGTATAGGAGCACTGGCTTGGAGCTTCAGATGAGTTTTGCAGTTTAGTTGCTTTATGATGAGGTAGTAGTGCTGTGGTATGAGGTGATTTCAAAGTTTGTGGATCAAATCTAAAAAATTAATCAATTATCAGATGTTTTGGGTCTGTAAGATATAAACTCTACAAATACTGGTAAGAAGTTTGTTTGTGTGAAAGAGCCTATTATAAGGCAGAAGGTCTATTTTATCAAAAGCAAACCTGATACTCACTAATTGTCAAAATTAGCCTCAGCAGAAAGTGATAGAGAGGAACCTTATGAAAAAAATAAATTTGTGGAGGTTAATGTAGCATAAACAACAAACTAGTCATGTACATGTACAGATACCTGGGTCTGATAGACAAGCTAAGTACTTCTGAGAATGGAAAATTATTTGTCTTAAAGATCATATTTTTAAATGATGTCACCTCTCTTCACAAAAATTTGTATGAAATTTGTATGAACTTTATCTATACGTGCATAAGTTAAAGTTACTGGAAAGCAGAAATTATGTTTATAGGATGCTTCTTAAGATACATACTGGTTTTGCAGATCAGGTGAGGTGAATATGCCCTGGTTTCTTCTAAGCTTAAGAAAGGCTACTCTTGGATAACCGTAGCAAATTCTAAGCTACCCATTTTTGCTGTATCTGCCTTGGTCAGGCATGGTAGGAAAGCTCAGTACACTAGTTAGGCTAAATTAAACCATTTACAGGATTGTGGTAGCTCAATCTACTGGAGTCTCCATCTTCTTCCAGAGACTGGTAAACACTATGAAGTTTTCTCTTCCCTTTTTTCCTTATACAGTGAGAACTTCTTTAGTCCCAAGAAACTGGTCCTTAAAATACAGCTTGTAAATAGGCAATAATGCCATGTTTCACTGCCAGAGATCTACTGTTTGGAAGGCTTGTAGTGAATGATTAGAGCAAAGTTTTCATATTTATTTTTTCCTAACAAGTTGCAATTGATAATGCCACTCAGCAACAGTTGTTAGGTAGGGAAGATAGGCATGAGGCATTTTCTCAACTTGCATTCCACAGAGATCACAGTTCTATTAATAAAAGCTATACAAGACCTCTCTTAGCTTCCTGGATACAATGGAGATTCATTTAGCAATGATAGGAATATTGTATGGCATACCTATTCACCATACCACTTGGTGTAAGGCACCACTTTTAGCACTTGTTTTTCACTTGCAGCACATAAGCTAATGGTGTAAAAATGTTTAAGATAGTGTGAATATTCTTTTTTGAAAGTTTAGAGGGGGGAGCTTTTCTGATGGACTCATCACTTTCTCTTGTATGCCAAATAGCTTTCCCTACTATGACAAATGACTGCAATTAAATTGGCATGGCCAGAGCCCTGACCTATTTGCAGCAAAAAAAAGCAAGAAAATCTGTTAGCAAGCATGTTATTTTTAATTCAATTTTTTTCATTTTTTACATCCCTCATCTTAAAGAAAATTTCTGAGACCACAAAAACATCTAGTGAATATGTATGGAGCCTCTCTGCATGCTTGCCTCCCTAAAAGAAACTAACATATCCTGTCATGTGGATTTGTTTGTGGGTTTTTTTACTCTTCTATGTATGTCAGGACCTCCTTGAGGTCCACCAGGTGCATTTTTTGGTTGGTTTAATTCAGGTATGCCTCCTTGAAATGTATTTTTTTCTGAATATGGACCTTAACTTGTTACCAACCTATGTCCCATTTGCTTGCTTGGAGTGTACACTCAAACTCACATGGAAGTGCCCTTCATCAATTTGCTTCTGTATTCTTCTATGTGAAATTAATAATAAGCTTATGAAATAATATAAGTACAAAATTAACATTATGAACTCTGATGTATCTTAAAACCTGGGGTTTTAAAGATGCATAGCAATAAGCCTGAAAGGCAATCCTAAAGCAATCTGTCTGCAAGGCTTTGAGAAGAACTGGTGTTAAAGGAAAATATCCAGAAAATGGCAGTATTGGCTTGGGGCAAGCTCAGTTGTACCATTTGCACTGGTCTTTCTTACATTGGTGGGGCATAAGGCAAGAGGGGAAGACCAAAATAGCATAGCTCCCTGAAGGTGATGTTCCTTCCTTCAGCCACTGGATTTTTATGGCCAGGGTTTTGCTATTCACATTCCGCTCTTGTAGGGGATGTTCTCAAACATTTGCAATGCAGGCAAACAGCGAGTGAACTTCTGCCAGTTAGGGAATGATGGCTTGGGGGGAATTGCATAGCATGCCTAAGTACTGAGCTCTGCTCATGACTGCAGCAATGCTGGCTGGCAGGCCATAAATCCTTTGTGGCATGCTGCATCTGTTGCACCAGTGGATGTTACTCTCTGCCATGTCTGGAGTCTTTCTGGCAATAGATATTCTCTGTCTCTTTATGGCTGTCCTTTCACTGTAATTGACTCAAGATTCTCTCTGGGCTGTCTTTATCACTATGCTGACTACTGGTTTCATGCCTATGTCTGTCTTTCTGTCAATATCTCAACCTCAAGCCTGCTTGGTAACTGATTTGGTTAGGTTCTGCCCCATTACTTATGTGATTTAGTTTAGTTTGCATTTTAGCAAGTATTCTATGTTACTGCATGAAGAGTCTGACAGGTACTCACTGCAAACAAGCCAATAAATGTAATAAATGTGTCATTTTTCTGTATTTGACTTCTGCGAGGCCTGAGACAAAGTCTTTGTCATATTAGAAGTTTAAATCTTTCTTCAACCTTCAATTATGATTCCCAGCAACCAAGAACATGAGGTGTAACAATTGTAGAAATCTCAGAAGAGGTAGGGAAATTGCTAGCCAGGCAGCCATGCTGTTGCTAACATCATCATCATCATCATCATCATCATCATCATCATCATCATCATCATCATCATCGTCTTCTTCTTCTTCTTCTTCTTCTTCTTCTTCTACTACTACTACTACTACTACTACTACTAGTACTGATTTGGATTTCCAGTTAAGAGACAGTGATGAGATTGTATTAAGAGTTTGTAATAGACTTTCTTAGTGCTTATAAAGATATAATGAAATGTCACTTTTATGCTTAAGTAACTAGTGACCATTAAAGCATTATGTACCTATCTGCTGGTATGTCTCAAGGGGACTGGTTGGTGACCTGGATAATGCCTAAGCTTCTGGTTGCCTGCTAATGATTTATACTTGCTGTGAAGTATGGCTTGATGCAAGAATCTATTTAACAAAAAAATAAAAAGTTGTTCCAGGCCTTCCCCTGTTCTGCTCCTAGAGCTTTATCCCTGTACTTTTTGCATTTATGTTCCTTGGCATTGAGCTGGCACTGTAGAATGTAACAGTGACCACCACTGTGGCCTTGTAGGATGCTGTTTTTGTCAGAAACCACAGTTCCTAAGTCCTTCCTAAAAGTTGCTTCATCTTGGTATCTCCTACAGGGAGGACTATTCAAGATTTCTTCTGGTTTGTTTTTGGCAATGTCAAATATCAGTCCACTGCTGGGGTTTTGGCAGTGAGCCACAGGGAGCCCGTCTTTCATTTCAGCTTCATGGGTGCAGGTGCGGATCACATGAGCAGGAAGAATCAGTTTCTAGTCCTGTTCCAGAATTTAGTGTGGCACGTTCCATGCAGTCACTGTGACCCCATAATAATCCTGGTCATGAAAATGGAGTAACCTGAAAGTACAGAACAGTTTGGGAAGCAAGGTGGGTCATCAGTTTGCTGTTTTGAGATGGTTGCACACAAAATACTGATCTGTGACTTTTGAGAATGGTGCAATTTTGTGCAATTTTTCCCAAGATAAATTATTGTTACAGGAGTTTGGACTGTGTTGCATTGGACTGCATCATGTGTTGAGAGGTCAAGGGGGTTTGGGGTATTGTTGGTTTTTTTAACACATTTTTTGTGTATTACCACAATTGCATCTCTGCTGCCTTAAAAATAATCCTGAAAATAGAATGAGTTCCCTGCTGAAAGGGAGGAACAAAAATTTACTTCTATTTTCATTCCCAGCTGTTAAGAACTGTTGCCTCTTTAAACTCAGAGCTATGTGCTGACATGGAATGTTGAAACTTTACTCATATTGCCTTTTACAAATATCTGGAATCAAAAGATTTTGAGAGTTTCCTTCAGCACTTCTACCTCTGGGTTATAAATTTGAACAGAACTATTTATTAATGAAATTTAACATACTTCTTTATTTAAAGTTTGTATACTAATTTAGACCAGAATTCCAAACCCATCAGTAAAGTCCTCTGGTTTCCTTACTCTCAGACTCTAGCATCTGCCCCTTCCCTGACTACTTTTTTGAAGGTAACTGCATTGCTTCCATGAGTAATTGTAATCTAAATGCTATCCCAAATTGCTTTTTTGCCAAGTCAGGAAAAATAATGGTCAACTGTATTTTTTACATGCTTGGACATCTACTTAGACTTCTGTTAAAGGTTTTCTGTCAGAGTTTGGAAGTGTTTGAATGTCTTCTATAGAGAAAAATCTGAAGAACATAATCTCAGGACTAATCCTAAGTGGTTTTGTATGTTTTGAATGTTAATAGTTTTATTATCTAAAGAAGTTGAAGGATACTAATTTTTATTTTGTAGCTAGTGTAGTTCAGGGCATAGATGTTTGATGTGAGAAAGATCATATAGCAATTCCATGCCAGAGGTGTAAGTGAAATAGCATGGTCTTCAGCCTTACTCCATGGTTTTAACCATGTTCATTCCCTCATCTCAAGTATGAGCCATGTTCATTCCCTCATCTCAAGTATTTTTTTAAATATCATTTCAGATGACTTTTGATGCTGGTTTAGCTGCTTTTTTTTTTTTTTTTTTTTTTTTTTTTTTTTTTTTTTTTTTTTTTTTTTTTTTTTTTTTTTTTTTTTTTTAATCTTGTATTGGCGAACTGTTTAATAAGACTTTTTAATGTTTTTTGCCTGGAGGTTGAATGGTTTGGCTTAGCAGAATTTAGTGAAAAGTTCCTTCTAGAGTCCTGAACCAGTCCTTATCCAGTTCAGGATAAGCTTTACCTTCTTTAAGGTACAAAAATGCATATTTTTTAATGTCTTCTAGAGTATTCAAAGTAATTCAATGAGTGGGAAGTATCTATGGAACATAACTGTATAATAGAGCTACTTTTCCTATAAGCCATGCTTTGGAGGTGGAGGGTTTTGGGGGTGCATGGGGAGCTCCTTGCTTCCTGTGCAGGTGTCTGCACAAGAGAGCAGGTGATGCTGGCTCCTGTGGGGCTCTGCCTCTTTGAAGCCATGGCAGCTGTCTGTACCTGCTGGTTTCCTTGCTCCTGCCAGCCACACCTCATAGACAAGAGAGAAGAGAGGCTGGAATCCATGTGGGAAGCTTTTGTATGAACTCCTTCCAGGTTTGTACCACTCCTGTAGAAAGATGCAGATTCATTCTCAGCTGACAACCTCACCCACAAAACTCCCACAAAAAAATGTAGATTTTTTCCTTGCCAGACCACTGCCAATTCCTGCTCTGTAGTCCCAGATGCTTTGCTTGATCCTGATCCTCATCACCTTCTCCTGAGAGCCATGGAATTCCATTCCAAATGGAAATTTAAAACTGAGATGAGCCTCAGAGCCATGGCAAGCACAAAAACTGTCAGGAGAATAATGCTGGTATCTTCCTGCACAGGCACATGTGTAGACATCCCTACTATGCTCTCCTGTTAATTCATCTTCAAATATCTATTTACTTGGAAGAATCCATAATTCTAGTATTAAAGGGATATATTTATAATCACTTTAATGATTATAAATGTCCCATTTATAATGAGCCCTTTTGTGAAAGCTCTGTTTCAGACTTACATGCAGAGATTGAATATGTTGAAGTGTTTATTTCAGGCTGGGAGATATTCTGATTTGTTCAGCTAGATAAAACCCAAGGAAAACAGTTGTCTAAAAGCAGCCTAATGTCTGTGAGAGTGCTGTTTTGTTCTATCTTGTGAGAAGAGCAGTAGCCCACCTGCTACTGTTCTGTAAAGGCTGTAGCACTATTCTAAGTAAAACAGCTCTTATGTGCTATAATTTCAAGGTGAAATTTGCAGCTGCTTCTTCTTCTCCTCACCCTATCTACCTATAATCTTCCCTCTGTTTTTCTCCTAAAGAAAATCGAGGGATATAGAAAGTTTAATTAAATATCTGAACATTATTTCAGAATTTTAGGGATTAAGTTTTGTCAGGTACCTGAGAAGAGTAGTATTAGTGAAACTCACTAATGTGGATTTACTCATTAAAATTTACAAGTGGCTAGTTTATATATCTGTAGAATCTGTATGAGAATGTATGTAGAAGAATATATATAGAATATATGAAGAATATATGTAGAATCTGTAGAAGATCATAATGAGGAAATACTACAAGGAAATGCCAAGGAGGTTAAGGCGACATTTTAACATGTTATTATTATAGAGAAATCACTGTCTTTTACTATGATGCAATTTTATCATGGATTGCTTCTCTCTGCAGATTTCTGTTATAAGTATCAGCCTGATACATAGTAATGAACACAAAATTCTAACACTCTTTGGTTGATTATTATTT